GGTCCATTTTGTGTGTGGTTAAAGGCATTAAGTAATGCCTCAAGCAGAAAATTGACCTAAAACAGTAACATTTTCGTGACATAGCCTCTTTTAATAAGCTTTACTCGACGCAAAAATGTAAATATAATAAAATTGCGTTGGTTTTGTTTATTATCATTTTCAAGCGACTTTCTTTGTTCTAATTGCTGGTAACAGTTGTCTTCCCAGGAGCCCCCTGGTGCCCGCTCGAAAGCCCCGCGCGCATCAAACGAGAACGAAACTTTCTAAAATTTCTTTTTTGCGCAAACGTTGATGCATGCAAAGAGAAGGCGTAACTTGATCACGGCATTTCAATCCACATTTTCGCCCCGCCCGGAAAAATTATGTTTACTGAAGCTTACTAAGCTTCAGTAAAACATAATTGGAAAGCGGGAAAGCAAGTTTTATCAGCGCAACCTGACCAATTTGAGCCCTTTCTTCTCTTATTGGGAGCTTTTCTTAGCCAGCCAGCATTCAAATTTGCCGCTTCGCTGATTATGAATAATTAATGATGTCCCTGCATTCTGCGCGATGATTTTATAAAATCAATAGACGCTATTTTCTATTGGGAAATGCGACAACACTCGAAAAGCTAAAATCACCCGAAGGTGCGCTTCGTTGCCTAAATATATGCAGTTTATATCGCATTAACTAAAGCGCGTTGTTTTTAGCGCAATTCGCCACTTTAGAAACGAGAAGGGGCCTTGTTTAAGGTTCATGCTTACTTGACATTCAGATTCTATCCGAGCATTCTTCATGCAATCGTATAGTGCACTCAAGAGTTTAAGTTCTGAGAATATTTTATTCCTTGACGTTTTCTATCTACTTGATAAAATCCCAATAGCAAGGCTAAAAAGTTAAAACAAGACTTGGACAAGACCAGGAGCTCCAGAAGGTAGTACCTACTCGTCTTCTTCCCATCCCGGGGCCGCGTAGCCGATTTTCTTTCGTTGCTTTACCAACCAATCACGTAGCGGCTGGAAATATTCAGTAAGCGCCCCAGCATCAACCTCCTGACTTCCGGTAAGTTTCTCGAGGGCTTGTGGCCAAGGTTTGCTTCTTCCCATCTTCAACATATCACTGTTAAAAGAGATCAAAAGTAAACGGATATGCGAAAGAGTACATCAACCCATTCACCGTTAAAACACAGTCAACTACCCACTCATACGCACAGAATAAGACGTGAATTTGACCGGCTAACTCAAATTAAAATCTTGCAGTTCAAATTAAAATTCATTTCGTATACAGTCAAACCTCCGCTAACGGCCACCTCCCTACAACGGCCACTTGTTTTTTGTCCGGGCGGACAGCCCCTACATCTCCTCTCTCGTTTAAACCTCTACAACGGCAACGGCCACTAAAGCGTGTCACCAACTGCCAAAATAACCTCGACAACGGCCAGTTTTTTTTTCGCAGTTGATGAAAAAGTCAAGAATGGTCATGAAATTTGATCCGTATGACACGTTGATGATTAATTGCGGCAATAGTATTTTGATTGTGTTCCATTTATACTGCTACAGTAATCATGAATTGTCTACAATGCTTATAGTTATAATGTTCCGAACCTCAAAAAAATTATTTACATTTATTTTTTTGTGCATTTTATCTCTATTAGAAATAATGATTGGATTACCATTATGGAATACAGTAGGCATGAACTTAGCACAGTAAGAATGTTATACTCCCTAAAAAAATAATGTCATATTACACCCCTGCCTCCCCATAACGGCCACCTCTCTACAACGGCCACTTTGTTCTCCCCCTAAGGTGGCCGTTGTGGAGCGGTTCGACTGTATTTCCACCCATGTAATTTCCACCATCGGGTAATTTACGAACTCACAATGGCCTGCTCTTCAGTTGGACTGATTGGCTGAATGGATAGAACGTTGCGTCGATCAGGATTCGATTCCCGGTCAAGCCTGAAGTTTTTTTCAGGTTTTTTTTCAACTGCTTAGGTTGTTCATTCAACTGCCAGGATCACGGTCACTTTCATATCTGTATCCGCAGTTCAAAATATGATTTCATTTCACATTTTTTAATTCATCTTTCCTCACTGCCTACTGGTTCTTGTTTTAAAGACAATTTCACTTTGTTTGGCTCAAGCTGTCTAGTTACAATTAATCATTCTGAAAGTGTCAAAACCGCTCGGCCAGCTTTTGTGTCTTGCCTCGCGAAGCCTGAGAAAACAGCCGACATTTCTTGACGCCACCACAGATGTCTCCGTGGCATGATGTCTGAGAAACGAGCACAGAAATTCCATACTGATGACGCCTCACGGCCCAGATCTCTGAAGCCTCACCTGCTTATTTGTTTCTTTTTAGAAATGTAGTAGCTTTTGAGAATGCACCACATTTTGCGTTTCGAGTTCGATGATTGCTTTATCATTTAATCGGAGTACTTATCTGGTTCATTATTTCGGAGAAATGGAGCAGTCATCTTGTCCTTGAAATTAGGGATCTCAATGCGCATGTGCAAAGTGTAGCCTGACACCTTTTTTTTGTTATTGCGCATGAGTAGACCATTGACAGTAGCGTACCAATCAATATATTTAAAAACATTATTTGAGGGTCTTAATCTTCTCAGCCATCATTTTCTTCGATTAATCACTTATTTACTAACCTTGAGTCAGGAAAAAGAAATAATTGTTTCGAGAAAAGCCTGGAAAAATTGTTGAAATTTTTTATCCAAAAATCTGTACGAGCCCCGTGAACTTATTGACAACATTACCCAATCTTTTTTCCCGCTTTCCTGGATTTGTAGATGGAACAGGTATGAAGGGGTCCTTTGTGACCTGCTTCTTTGCAAGCGGCCTTGTGAAACTGGAACTGTAGAATGAGGCTCATGAAATATCTGAAAGATAAAAGACATGACTCGTTTATGTTTGCCTTTCGTTTTAAAAGAAGCTACACGGCCTGGTGTTTTGGTCTCCTTCGTGACACGCCAGATGATTGATGCCATGTCATTGCCAAATAAAATCTCCACCAATCAGCATTTCGCTTCCATTTAACATTTTCGATGCTGAAATTCAAATTCCTGGGAGACCTCGTTAAAATCTCTCGATGGTGTGGTCCCCAAGGCCGGGGCTTAACCTTAGAATAAAACACCTTGGAGTATTGCTAATCCCCCAAGGATTAAATGGCACTGTCCATGGTAGGGTTAATTATTCCCAATATTATGTCCCCGCTGCCCATTTATTCACCTGGTTAAACCTATTATCCTGCCTTTGGAAATAGCGTCAACCTCGTTTCCAGGGTACGTGAGACATAGTGGAGCTAAGTTTCTTGTCTAAGGGGACAATGAGACGGCAAGAAGTCGCACCTACAAATCCAAAGTTCGATCTTCAAACTGGGCCGTGGTAACTGCTCCGTTACCACACATCCACTTCTTTTCCATTTTGCCAGACTACTACTTTTGACGTTTTCTTCAATTAATTCAGGGATGACGAATGGTAAAATCCGAGACACGTTTAGCCTTCGCACCAAGCGCATGAGACGAAATTCACGGCATAGATAAGAATGGCGACGCTTTTCATGCGCCTACGTACAGAGAAGGCCAAGACTTGAGTAGCCAAAACCGTTGTTTAAAAATTCAAAGTCTATGTGGGTAAAAATTTAAAAAATAAACAAGGAGTGAAACACACAAAAAGGATAAATTCAGGGACTCATCAGAAACGCTTCAGAGACTTGGAGATGCAAACACTTGCCACTTTTTGAGGTTGCAAAGAAATGACTGAACGTAAAACATCGTTGCAAAGGTTGTTAAAGGTAGATTACCTACCTGATGTAGGGATAGTTTGCTGGAATGTGATACTTGCATCCGGGATCAAAATCATCTTCTGAGCGATCCACTGGAGGCTTGACTCCCTGGTACTTAGTCCTCAGCTTCCACCACTCGGCGTTGTAGTTGTCTTCAGTAATAGCTCCACTAAAAACCTTCCAACGCCACTGGTCGATCAGGAAACCGTACGGCAGGAACGCCACCTTCATCAGTGCCATCTTCATTAAGGCGTTTATATCGGATTCTAGAGACAGAGAGTCAAAACCAGTATGAAACTGTCACTTCTTTAAGTAGTCACAGGAGAAGGTTATGGGCTCCTGGTGGTCGCGATCTCGTGTGATCACAGTTTGCTAGGTCTTTTTGTAATATTTCTAGTGTCTTCGCCTTTATTTCAGAGAGAGAGAAAGCAAGAGATTGATTTGGGGGATAATTCGCCCCTTGTAAGGAAATCCAAGGCAGTCTTGGATTCTGGCTTTCACACTGTGGATTCTGGATTCAAGGTACTGGATTTCAGCTTCCGATGGAAGTTGGATTCTGGATTCCAATCGTTAGTAGGATTTTTCAGGATTCCAAACCCCAGGATTTCGGATTCCACAAGCAATAATTTCCCGGATTTCGCCGGGAATCCGGATTCCCTTACAAGGTGCGAGATAATGAACTAAATCCAGTGTACTCACAGACTACGAGTAGTCCCCATTTTTCCTCAGGGATAGTAGAGCGAGCGAAACGCGAGCGCGCGTGAAAATGGCCCCACGCGAGAAAGGCGAGACGCGGTGGTCTCGCCTTTCTCGCGTGAGGTGATTTTCACGCGCGCTCGCGTTTCGCTCGCTCTACTATCCCTGAGGAAAAATGGGGACTACTCGTAGTCGAGAGTATTCTATACCTTTATCATCGCTGTACTCCTCTAACAAACCAATTTTTGTCAAGTGCTGTGGAGTGTCGACTGAAAGTGACAGGGTATCCCCAACGGCTTCATGGAATCCTGGGTTGGCGCCTTCGCGGTATACTCGAATGGCAAGTCCCAGTACTGTAGGAAATACTGAACGTGGCCCAACTCGTGGTGAGTGACTATCAAGTAGCTATGATCGATAGTGGTGCATTGCTTGATTCTGAAAAGACCGTGTCGTAGCCGTCATCGCTCTAAACCTCATTAAACTTTTAAGTAGTTGCAAATCGTTGATCAATGTATGCAGTTTTTCACTCATTTTTAATCCAACAAGTCTGTAAAAAATTGTCCTTTTTGGCAAGGGCATATGATCGACTAAGTCACCTCGCGGAAAACAACACCGTTGTCCATCTTAAACCGTAAATCGGTGACCGTTTTATAATTAGAAAACCTCAGTGATTGGATCTTTCCGTTTATTCAAAGAAAAATTTTGGAGTTTCTAATTAGCTCAAATGTACACCTAAAAAGGTAAACAGACAAGTGTGATGAACCCCCGGGGGTGTGGACTCAATATTAAAGAGACTGACAGAGATATTTGTCGGGAAATTAGAATTTAATTAACACCTAAAGAACACCAATCTGGGTGTTACTCAGGCTTAATTTGACCCCTATCCGACTAAGTACAATCGACTCTCTCCTAACTGACACCTTTACAGACCATACAGTCAAACTCCGTTTCACGGACACTCGCTTAATACGGACACCTCATTGTTATGGACACTTTCTATTGTCCTCTCAGTGTCCATATTAACGGGATTTGACTTATAAGACGGACACCTCGGTAAAACGGACACCTAGAGTTGGTCCCTGCCTTTCTTTACTCGACCTTTTATTTGACTCTATTAGGGCCTGTTTAGATGGAGGTGGGGGACCCCAGGTAGGTGAGGTAACCCGCTTGGGTGTGGTAACCCGCCTGTACATATAATCTCTCATTTTAATTCGATTACGTTTACATGATCGGTGAGGTGACCCGCCACGTGTTACCTCACCTATCTGGGGTCTCCCACCTCCACGTAAACAGGCCTTTAGACGCACATCATTCTTAGGCGAACTCTTAATGCCGGTCCCAAAGCTGTCCGTCTTAGCGAGAGTTGACTGTATGACGGCGTTTTCTCTTTTTATATGGATACTTCCTTACGCAAAAGCTTTTAAATCCAGAACACCATAAGTGAGCCTAAAATCTGCAATGTACTGTATACCCCTAACCAAGACGACCGACAATCACCCCATCACTGTGATATGGGATTCCCCCGGGAGATAAACCAAGCACTAATCTTACCTGACGTCCTCGTTTATGAGGAAATCCCAAGCTGATGCGTGACAAACCACCGCCCTACCGTCCTCAGGCTTGGTAATCAAAGACTTGATGTAGAATGACTTGGGAAATGCTTCCAGACCAATTGACGTGAAAAACGACTCGGCGAGTCGCACCATTTTCAGCGGAGTGTAGTTTTGCTTTACCATGTTAGCTGTAACATCTAGGCTGGGCTTGCCTTTGTATGGTTCGACCAGATCGTAAATATTTTCCCACGTCATCGCCCACATGTCCTCTAACAGGTGCGCTGGGATTGGACCTTTCTTTTTCATCTTGCTGTACTTCTGGCTGAGCCTATATCTCACATAGGCGTGGAGCTCTTGAAAAAGAGGCTTTAATTTGGTCCAAAAGCCTTCAACCATGCCCTCAAAGTCTTCAATTTCGTAAAACGATCGCCAGTACTCGCCAATGTCTTTCCAGCCATTATCTCTGGCGCCTTGGTTTTTCAGTTTCACAAATTCCTTGTAGAGAGGTCGCAGTGTCGGGCCAACCGCATCCCGCCAGCCTTTCCATGCAAACTGAAGTCTATCATAATCCCGTATTGTGGCCATTATGTTCCACAAGTCTGGCTCTAGTGCAAGCTTGGTGCCGTCATTATCTTCAACTTTGCCTGTGCTGTAGATGCCCTCCATTTTTGATATGAGCTCGGTCATTCTACGCAGCACGGCTTTATCTTTGGGTATCGCTGAAGAAGTGATAAACTTGATCTGCCTCTTGGTGTCGGCGGACAATTTGCTCACGTCGAACTTTGACGCTCTCTCTCGCATCTTATTTTGAAATGCTGTGATAGCGAGGCTTCCGGTTGTCTTCAAGTTGCTATTGTGATCTGTGATGTTTGTAGCGTAATTCCATGCAAGCTCCATAAACTTTATTTTCTCAATGGGAGCCTCCTTCTTGTTGTATTTTTTCAGAAACGCCAAAGCTTTCGTCTCTTCCGCTCGAACGACAGCAGCAGAGCAGTGAAACGGTATGATTACCGCGTATAGAACGAGAATAAAAGTAATTTTCAATTGCATTATTACGTTCAGTTTGCTGTTACTTGGGACTATCGTTGCCTAGTTACTGTGGCAATTCTTGGTCGATATATTGTTAAGGCTTGGTTGGGAAATCTGTTGAATCATTATCATTACAGTCGTTATCATCATCAAATAATCAAGCGCTAATCCTGAGTAATTATTCGTTTCGGCTTTTGTATAATATTGAATGAGGCTGAGTAGGCTATGAAGAATTCTGCCGGTCGAGGAGGGTGTTATCGGCCGAGGTGGATAACACCCTCCGAGATGGCTACGAGATGGTAGCTGGCCAACGAGGCGCGTAGCTGGCTACAATCATCTCATATCCATCAAGCGCGAGTGGAATAATTGTTGTATTAAAAACGCCCACAAAGTATGGAGAATTCTTCCCGACTTTATTTTCAGCTTGTTTTTAATTTTGAGCAGACGCGTACAGTTACCATATTTGGAGAGCATGGTATATATGGTTCATATACCATGATGGCTAAGCCAATACTGATCAGAGCTCTAGAAATGCATTTTCCAATGATTCAGTTTTTAATAAGAATTATACAGATCCGCTAATGAGATCAGGGGCATCTTGTTCTGGCGGTGGTTATCTATCTAAAATTTGTCTACTAATTATTTCTTTCATATTTTAATTTTCAGCAACCTCCAAATACAATATTTTCGATTTTTATATAATTTTAAACCTCACCCTCGCATATTTATTCATTCAAAACATTCGCAAAATCGTTCAAAATTCACAACATTTATTGAACCAATAGCTCCGACTATATTGAGCCAGTTTTTGAAAGAAAACTGGTTGAGATGTTACCTAGATTTCGGAAGAGAAAGGGCACTGAGAAATAAAGGGAAAAAAGGC